CGTGCGGTGCCGGCCCTCGCCAGACACACCCCCGGCCCTGCGCGGCGGGGCAGCGGGGCGACCCGGCCGTCCTCCCTCTCTTTTCCCTTTCCCTCCCCTTCCCTCCGGGCGCCACTCACCTGCCGCCGCTGCCTGGGTGACAGCCGCCTCCCCCCCCGCCGGGGCTGAGGCCGCGGAGCTCAACGGGCAACGCGACAGCGACTCCCCCGGCCGAGGCGGCGGGGGCGGCCCCGGGGGGGGGAGGATGGCTCGCAGCAGCCCCCCGCCGCGATGGCGGTGGCGAAGAGCGCTGGGGCTTTTTTTGGGGGGCCCCGGTTCCCGTTGCAGGGGCTCCCGGGCAGCCGGGGCCCCTTGCCTGGGCGGCGCGGCGCGGCTGCGGGGCTCCGGCTCGCTCGCCGCTCTCCCTCCCCGCGGGACGGGGCGGAGCTGGGCAGGGAGAGACGAGGGGGGCGGTGTCGGAGGAGGCCGCCGCGGCCCGGCCCGGATCCCTCCTCCTCCTCCTCCTCCTCCCTCTCTCTCCCTCTCCCTCAGTCGCTGCTGGCCGCCATCTTCCCTGCCTTCCACCCCCCCAGCACACACACAGCGGCCCGGGCGGAGGCGATGGGGAGGCCGCGGCCCCTCCGCTGTCGCCCCCCGGGAAGGGGCAGGGGGAGGCGGGCGCCATCTTAGCGGCTGAGGGGGGCGGCCGGGGCCTGGGGGGCACCGATGGCGCCGAGCCCAGGGGTGACGGGGGACCTGCCTCCCCAGCTGGGGACCCCTCTGCTGCCATCCCCACAGTAGCCCTCCCCATCCCCTCACACCTCTCCGGGCTGTCCCACCACGTCAAACTCAGGCCCCCACTGTGGGGCTGGGCTTGACCAAGGTGAAGAGGCCTCCATTGGGTTCGGGTCTCCTCATCCCACTGATCTGTCAAGAGCTGCTGTCACATTCTTTCTCTCTTTCTCAATCCTCTTCCCCCAATGAGGCTTTGAGGAAGAGTTAAGGGCCCACATCTTTATTCTTGTTCTCTCTCCGGGCATCAAAAGGGCTGAAATGTGCCTTGGATTAGCTGGGAACACTGACACGAAGCTCAGTAAGTGGCGTGGGGTGACAAGATGGCCCCACGCAGACCTTGACCCACTGTTTGGTCTCCTCGCTGTCACTTTTGGCCATTTCCACGCAAAGCAGTGCAGCACATGGACCAGTCACAATTGCCCTGTGAACTGTATTATCGTATTCAGGCTGTATCTAGTTACATTATTCATCCTCTCTGTGGAACTGTGAAATCCCCTAACACCTCGTGTCACAAGGCAAAACAACTCAATGGGTTGAATAGTTAAAATAAACCAGAGCTTCAGGTGGCTCGTTTTCCTCCGTGGGGGCTCTTTATTCCCCAGGGGTTTGAGAGTGCCTCTGTTACAACAAAACAAATTGGCCTTAAAAGGCCTGGTCAAACACACAGCATGGCAAATCTGCCTGGTGCGGTCACCCCTGTTGTCCTCTGATCTGGATTTTTGTCTTCCTCAGAAACCTGCACTTTTCCTGGGGTCCACACAGTTGCCTCTGAGGTTCTCTGCTTCCCAGAAAAACCCCATCCAAGCTGTATTTCATAACTGCCTCCTTATCTCTGGAGCACCTGTGAAGGGGATGGGCAGGATAAGCCCGAGTTAACCCTTTGGCAGGTAATGGGCCAGGGGATATTGATCACAGGCTTGTGTTTTCTGACATTTTGAGATCGATAAGGCTTTTCCTGGGCTATTTTATATGCATTCCAACCTAGTTAGCTGTAGGTGTTCTTATATAGAGAATGCCGCATGTTTTGTGCATCTTCAACTAGACAAATAGTTAGTAAACTCTTTTTAGAAGAATTTGTGCGCAAATGAAAGCATCTAAACGAGCAGGGAAGCGGTGGAGAAACAAGACAGAGGAGAGCAGCGACCTGAAATCATGCACCCACAACAAATCCTCTGCTGCAAAACTCACGCTGTTCTCGAGGTAACGAAGGAATGCTTCTGATTCTCCTTTAATTGCATTCTTGGTAGGGGCTGAGGCAACATTAACAGCCGCTGCATGCTGCTGCATGACCCTTGGTTGCAACACATCTAGGTGGAAGTGCTAATAGATTCCTTCTGGTCCTGTTCACTTTGTGACAGCAGCGAGGGAAGGAAGCTGTGGAAAAGTCCTGGAGTCTTCCCCGCGCTGCCAGCTCTCCACTGCCTCTGCAGGCTATGCCCACTTTGCTTTTATTCAGGCAGAAAATGCTCAGCCTTCACAACTAATACAGAGCTTGACGTTAGAATATTTCCCTTCCGTGAATTCCTCACGAGAAAGTAATATATGAGCTAATCTCAGGCGGTAGGGACATTGTAAGTTTTCAGTGATATTAGCACTGAGAAGCATAAAACCATTTTTATTACTTTAATCTGCAAGTTAATTTTTAAATGGAATGCACGTATAAACAATGCAATTTTTAAGTACATTACAGAGCTGTCAGGCTTTGACAATTTAAATGAATGAGACTTCAAAACGTATTATGAAAAAGATTAAATGTCTCATTGAAATACACACGGAATAAAAATGAAATCCATCAGCAAAATGAGATTATTTCAAAACTTCCTAGAATTAAATCCAAAAGAAAGGCCTCTCCCACCAGGTAAGCGGTACCACGGCGGGTGAGACTTTATCTGAGAACAGCTTTAATTTCCAAATGCCTTCAAATGACAAATAATCTACTGTTGTTAGATCTTTCTAGCCTGAGCACTTTGTAAAACAAGATGATGTGATTATCTTCATTTTACATACACAAAGCAGTGTTTAAGAGGTCTAAGTAGAGGTCAAGCAACAAGTGAGAGATGGAACCTCCAACCAAAACAGCATCAAGGTCTCCTGGTTGTCCTATTCCATGCCGTAAATGCTCCGTGTGACACTGTCACTTGTAGCCCACTTTTCTGTACAACTTCCTTGGGCTAAAGGCCATTTTCAGGCTTTATTTCAGTTTATGAAGCAGGCTATTTTAAGAGTTTCTTGTAAGCTGCAAGTAGCCACAGTACAGTCGTTAATCTAAGAAGGCAAAATTAATAGTATGGAGTTCTTTAAAGCGTCTTGGCCAAACTCAGCATTGTAATAAGTAATAAATAATTGCTTTGATGATAGTATTGCCTCTACTTAATACGCATAAGGCTCTTTAGAGCTCCACAGAACTTCTGAACTGCTTCATGCTGAGCTTTGAGAAGTGCTGAGCTCCTCCATGACTACTGACTTACTTGCCCCCTAAAAATGTTAACAGAAATATCTGTTAACAGAAAGATTGGCCTAAATAGAGGGGGTTGAATAGGAATGCTGGGGTGTGGGAGCACCGGGAGGAACAAATGGCAGGAGAAGGGTACAAGAATGGCATTTAACGATGGCATCTGGACTAGCAGGTCTCCAGGATTGCAACCTGCATCTGCCTGTGTGGAGCCTCTCTCCCTGCAGGCAGGCAGAGAGTGAGGAGGAGGAAGGTCTCTCCGGAGGGTGAAGCATCTCTACCAGTTCCTATGATAACTAAAAGCCAGCACCTGGAAGAACTGAGACCTGAGGATGAATATCTGAAAGGAGGTTGTAGAGAGGTAGGGGTCGGTCTCTTCTCCCAAGGAAGAGGCGATGGGATAAGAGGAAATGGCCTCAAGTTGTGCCAGGAGAGGTTTAGGTTGGATATTAGCAAAAAATTCTGCACTGAAAGTATTGTCAAGGCTTGGAAGAGGCTGCTCAGGGCAGTGGTGGAGTTGCCGTCTCTGGAGGGATTTAAAAACCAGGCAGACATGGTGATGAGGGACATGGGTCAGTGGTGGGTTTGTCAGTGTTGGGTTGATGGTTGGACTTCATGGTCTGAAAGGTCCCTTCCAACCTGGACAATTCTATCATTCTATGGTCTCTTGTCCTCCAGCTTATCCTGCGATGAGACAGAGTCCTGGACACAAGCCCTTCGGCACCTAAAGGGTCTACCTGGACACCACATGGTGCTTCTGAGCGTGCGTGAGAATGGGATTGAAATCAGCTTTATTTTAATTTTTATGTTTTACTTTCATTTCTTTCCACCTCCTCAGGTCTGCAGGTGTGCTATGATGCGGCCGCTGTTGTTTCCTGCACAATAGTCCTTTTGGGGGTGCTCAAGATGGCCAAAAGATACCAAGGTTTGAGTTTTTATGCAGCAGAGACTGCATTTCACTAAAAAAAAGCAGCTTCGATCCAGGAGCAGGATGCTTTTAACACACTGGTTTAACACCTTTTCTGAACTTTTACAACTTTGCAAAGGGGCTTGAGCTGAAATTAATGCACAGCGCCATTAAGGTTAATGAGTTGTTGCGCACTCAGACACCTCCTTGGGTCTGTGTGAGCACCTTGGTCGAGCTGGAGAGCCCGGCTGGGAGGAAATCCTTCCCCAGGATGGTTGTTGGAGGCAGCTCCTGCTCCCAGCACCCGCTTGCTTGCTGGGGGAAGCCTTAATGAAAAGCAGCTCATCAGCAGTTACGTAACCTAATGATAATCCGGCTCAGGCCGGGCAATACTTAAAGCCACAGCGTCTCTCTGCCGTGACCTATTTTATGCTCGATGCAAGGGCAAAAAGTATGTGGTTTGTAACTTTGCTTGGGTCTTTCACCGCCGAGTTGTCGTCCGTCAGGAGGAAAAAAAGCCCTCCCACCCCCCCTCAATCCCCCCCATCCACGCACGTTTCTTCTGCCTTCCCGGCTGCAAAGCAACCGCTTCGGATTTGTCGGTGGCTTTTTATGGTATGGGCTCCAAGCACGGGCACGGAGAGAGCAAATTGTAAACAATTAAAAGGAAAGCGCTTTATGTTCTGCGGGAAACTCGGCAGATTTTAATTTCGGCTTCAGAAGCTGCAGAGGGTCCCGGGGCGGGGGGGGGGAGTGTTGCAGAACTCTTCTAATGCCATGTAGAACCACACAGAAAAGCTTTTGTGTTTTTATTAGACCTCAGAGAACAAAAAATGTATGCTTCCACATTCCAGGGTCATATTTACATTTGACTTAAGAAATTCATTAAGACGGCACTGGCGTAACTCAAACTTGGACGACTGGCCAGCCCCCTCTAATCAGGGGTTTTTTTTTACCTCTCAATCTGCAGAAGTATCAACAAGAGATTAAAGGCAGAGTTGTTGATTCAGATCTCAGCATTTAATCTGACCACAGATGGTGTCAAAAGAGGGACAGCCATGCAAAATAGCAACAGATTTTTTTTCCCTAAACAATTGCTTTTTTGTTTAATAAAGATAGAGAACAAGTGGCCAAATTTAAAATACAGAGGAAATCTCAGTTTTCTACAGTTCCTCTCCTAGAGAGCTCTGAAGCATTATTAATGGGCTGGTTTCTGTTAATGATTAATAATGTGTTTATATTTATGTACTTAACTAAAGTTATTATTGTTACT